CTGCTGAATTATATATTAATTTCATAATAAATTTCAGTTTATACAAGGAATGAAATATTTTTTCATAAATGTTGCTCTGAAATGTTCACTGGAACTGAAAATAGTCACGATTAAATGTACAATCAATTTACATTAAAAAGAGCAAGATTGTTAATAAGTTTACTTCGGTGTCCAAAAAAACTCAGTCTGAATAAAAAAATTGGCACTAAAATGGTGAATATTTATTAATCAGATCTGAAGATTATTTAGTTTTCTTTTCATCTTCATGGACAGTCTTCAGGTTCATCATTGTCAAATTATCTACAGGTTGATCAATTCAGCGAGTAAACAACGCTATAACGGCAATTTTAAAAGCAAGCTTGAGCTGTAAGTCCCTTAATCATTTGCCAGCATAAGAGATGTTTTGTCAATCTCTGCATCATAACTCCCAAGAAATGGTCAATCCATTTTATATTTTGAATATTGCTGGGATGTTCATTTCAAATCTATTTTAAATTAATATAACGATTATTGGACAGTTATTGAAAAGTGGCATGAAACTACAAATGACCGAATAATCGGCAACAAATATTTTGTATTTCAATATTCTATCGAACTCTTTGCCCGTTGTTTATTGATTGTACAAAATGCCCTACAATAATCTTACATACTCCTGATACTAAATATCATTTGATATTCTCACATATTCTGGTTTTTTCTTGTTTCAATAAATACTTCTCAAATGTATGAAGACTGTAATTTGCATTGAATTAAAGTGAGAATAGAGATAGAAACTTTCTGATCTTGTTGCCGTCATCTATCGATGAAAAAAGCAACTTTATTTGAATCAACAAAAGTACCGGTTGATTTGTGATTGCCGCCAAGACAACATAATTAAATGTCTAAAATTATTGATTGTTGAAAAAACTTTCAAGAGAGAAGTGAGATCGTGAAATCTTTCATTGACTGTTCGACTCGTCTTAAACTTGTCTCAATCAAAAGTTATAAATCATGTTATAAATTTCAAGTCTTAGCAGTTAAAATTCAGAACTCAGCAAATAACCGATTACTAGTAACTGTAGAATGAGTAATCATGACCATTTTCTTGAAAATAACGGAATAATGCCAATTATCTAGTCGCTTTGGTTTCGACTGGTCAAGTATCTAGAAACAAAACATTGTAAGTGATTAATTTCAAGAAAAGAATATCAAACATTTAGATTTATTGAAACACTAAGTAAAACTTTTAGTTATTGAAATTCAATAATTGAATATCTAGATTGTGCGAGTTATTCATTAAAACAGCCATTCATGAACCGATAGTTACTATTGCCGATGAACTAACCGGTTAAAAATACTTGAAACAAGTGTAGTTTTATTTTCCTTCTCACAGGATAGCAAAAAGTCACGCTTTTACGCGTATGCCATTACAGCAGAGTATACTGTAATCCTCTGTCGCTCTAAAAAATTTTTAGAGGCAGAGGTTTGACAGTCAAAAAACGGGCACCTACTATTTTTCACTTTTTATGCACCCCTGATGGGCTATCCAAAAATATATATCGCATTAGAAAACTCGAGCGACAGTTCGTGCCGCTCCCTTTTGAGCTCAAGGCCCAGTTTGGCGTAAAGGAATGGTAACATTTCTGAACACAAGAGGGCGCTTCAATCCTGGTTTTCTGGTTAACTTTTTAAATCTCTGTAAAAAAAATAATTAAATAAGTTACAATAAATTAAAATTGTCAACATAGCTCACCGACAAACTAGTAATCAACACTATAAATCGTTAAAATGACTTCAAACTCATCATCTCAGCAAGAAAACAGTGGCTCTCAGGTGGCAACCCAAGGTGACTTACCTGCACCCCCTATTTCTTGAACTTATAGTTAATGTAAACTGTCAAAATGCATGATTAGGTGGAGCGCTTAAAGCTCACCCTGTTACGACTTCCTTAAGAACCAATAAATAACTTGTCCATTCAATGTCTTCATCATTGAAAGAAACCTAAGAGAGTAAGTGATTGAAAGAAAAGGCGAAATGGTGAAATGACGATGAAGGAATGGCCAAAGTTAGCGATAACTTTTTCTTCCCATTTTGTCCTGTTTACCTTTTATTTATTGTTATCCCTTGTTAGGACGGACTCTAAGACGGACTCAAGAGTGAACCCTAAAAAAGTCCATTCATTGACCATTATTTATTCGGCCTATTAGTTATTTTAAAGCTATTAACTATTATTGGTAAAAAAAGGATGAAACTGATGAAGATGAGACTAAATGTTTAAGTTAAGGTATATTTGGAAAAGCTTTTTGTCTTATTACCTTTCAATCCTAAACAGTTTTACCAATTACCAGAGTAAGTTTTGTTGTTTTGTCCCAAAAAAAGGTGAAAAGGCCGCCATAAAAAAAAGGGTTGACGATATTAGGTTCAAGATTGAAGTGAAGATACAATTTCCTACAGAGAGACGCTCATATCGTTATACACGTTATTGCATGTTTTACCTCAATCGCTCTTCATTCCTCTTCCTCTCTCTCTTCTTTCACTTTCATCTTCCAACCTCACTCTGTCTATCTTTCTCGCTTGATTCCTCTCTGATCTTGTCTCATTCACTTGTTTTCAGCTCCTCTAACTCACTTTGAATCGGTTCTGTGTCTGTTGCTATTCACTTGCTTAGTTGTTACTTGACTGGTTAAACTGTATTTGGATTAACACAACATTTTATTTATTTACAGTTTTTACTTATTATAGAGATTTAACCATCACATCATCTCACTGTCATCATCTTCATCATCACCATCATCATCGGCACCAGTATCATCATTAATACAGTTATATATTGATAACAGAATAATGGGACGCAAAAAAATTCGAATTTCAAGGATTACAGATGAACGTAATCGTCAGGTAAGTTTAGTTTTTTACTGTCACCCGATCAGCCATTTGTCCAATTGTTCAAACTGTGTCTTCAACTCGACAAGGTACAACACCAGATTCTGGAATACATTTGGATAGCCTTTGGTCAAGAGTTTAAACATTGATATTGACTTGTTTCCCTTGACCTTTGGTGCATTTGTTACCCTCCAAATATCAATCCATCAACAGTTACTTTCCAACAGTGTTTCAAGTTTTTTGTTTGCCTTGTCCAGTTTCAACACTGACCTTTGTACAACTATTTTTTTACCTTGCTTTTAATACATCGTATCTTTGTTTTGTGATGTACAAAATATACCTTTTCAGGTCACATTTACCAAAAGGAAGTTTGGTTTGATGAAAAAAGCTTATGAGCTTAGTGTATTGTGTGACTGTGAGATCGCTCTCATCATTTTTAATAGCACAAATAAATTATTTCAATATGCCAGCACCGATATGGACAAAGTGCTCCTTAAATATACCGAGTACAATGAGCCCCATGAAAGCCGGACCAACAGCGATATTGAAGAGGTAAATATCACAATCCTTCTTTCCATTCACCAACTATGCTCAACTCATGACTAAATTTTTTCTTCAATTTGCTTTCTCCACTTAGACTTTGCTAAAAAAAGAAAACAAAAATTCGGCCACATTTTCATATGAAAGTGCTCAATTATTCACAGAATGCTGATGTTGGCGCCTTATTTGCCACTTTCGTTAAATGTGCGTTGTTCTGGCATGGTTGCCTACAGTAACTCGACAGAAACTGATTTAAAACCAGAAATAAAATGTAAATTATTGCAAGAGTTGAAAGTGAACAATCACTTGATTGAATCTTGGAAGTGTTTGATTAATAAGTGATCTATTATACGTTTATAACGTATGTAAAGTAAAAATGGAAATAATTTTCAATCTTTGATTGTTTGATTCTTTGATTGAAAAGTTGATTTTTTGCCGATTTTCACTGGCGCCCTCTAGTGTTTTAGGGATTTTCGCCCATAGTAATCATGCACCTCCGCACAAATTTTTAAAACTTGAGGTTGTTTAAACTGCTATAAGATGAGTTCTGATTCAGATAATGACGTGATTTTTCATATTTATAATTAATATACTCTCAAAAATATTTGTTCAAAATTTCGTCCTAATCTATTTAGTAGTTCCTGAGAAAATACTGGTTAAAAATCATTTCCATTTTTACTTTACATACGTTACTTACACATACACTGCTTTGTTGAAAGCTTGTTATTAAAAGGTCAAGCGACCATTTATTGAGCCTCCACATTTTCCTCCACCTGTATTATTTATTACAACAACAATAAGCTTTTTACATTAAATTCGATCACAAAGAAACAATTGATGACAAATTATTAAAATGAACAAAAAAGTAATTTTATATTGCAATTGAAAGTTGCAGATCTCATCAGAATACCAATAAACTGAGATCAACCTGAAATTTGTGATTAGGTTAGAAGGAATCGATTCAAGAAATGGTAATATCGCATAACTTGACGATGTTTGTTTTATTTGTCATTAGAGAAAGCTAATTTAATTACTATGAGGTTAATGAGAAATGAAATTAAGAGAAATCCTTGAGAACAGTTAGATCGTTAGTTTTTGGCAAAAGTCATGGGTAAAGGTAAAGATGGTGTTAATGGAGTGTTATTAACTTTTACAATTAATTTGCGTCTAGCATCATTAAGTTGATAATGGACTAGGAAGGTCTTGGAAGCTAGAAAGGTTTGAAAGTCTCTTCAAAAGATTGCAACAATCAAGTTGAACTGCACAAACTGACTTGAATAGTATCTTCAAGTCTTGTCGACAATTACTATGGACAAAAATATGATTTGAGATTCGAGCGTATGGACATTGTGGTTTGAATTAGCATAAAAACTGGACTTTGAAACAAACACATACGAGCTTATACATTAAACACTAAACATTTAACATGTTTAACATAACATATTATTTCGAGCCAAAACATAAGTGAAGCACAAAAACAATGAAGAAAAAGGTTTTTATTCAAATAAAAGACACAATTAACACATTTGTAACATTTATACATCAAACTTGTACACAAATGGGCTAAAAACGAGTCCAAATTAATTTCTTTCAAGTTTAAACTCAGGCAATTTGTAGTGGCATGAAAACTGATTGCTCTAGTGCGATTAAAAAGTTTTCTCTTATCAATAGTTTTCGAGAAAATCGAGTCCAAAGTTGAAACTTCGATTGTCTTTTGTACGTTTGTGGGACCAGATTTTTTCATCAGACTTGATCTAAATTCTGTAAATTTAAATGATCAACCAGACGATATACTTATTTTTAGAAATAAAATTCTCTGTTTTCTGTAAAACAGATCAATTCGATTTTCGTTTAAACCGACCTCTTTCTGTGATCGGTAAAGTTAGAGACATGGAACTCACTATATGTGCATAAAAATTGTTTGTTTAAATTATGGATTGAATATTTTCTTCAAATGATCAACAACTCTCTTGATTTTGGCCATCAACCCAAAAATTTCGAGCCTCGATATTACGAGAATGGCATCATCTATTATCATCATTCTTCGACTAAACATTAGATTTCGTTATTGACTATAATTTATTGAAATATTAGGCCACTTAAGATTTTACAATAAAAGGTACAGCCTTTTATTACTTATGTTACCAGATGTGATTTTTGATTTATGAAGCTAAATGGTTAGTCAACCCGAATCTTATCTGTCAGAAATATATTCAGTATTTCTTGAATTAGCTCAGCTTTTCTTCGATATTAAGTCGTATTATATTAAAACCCATAATAAAATCTAATGTTTAGTCGAAGAATGATGATCATAGATGATGTTAATCTCGAAATATCGAGGCTCGAAATTTTTGGGTTAATGTCCAAAATTAAGAGAACTATTGATTATGTGAAAATAATATTCGATCCATGTTTTGCGCAAACAAGTTTTATGCACATATAGTGAGTTTCAGGTCTCTAACTTTCCCGATCATAGAAATAGGTCGGTTTAAACGAAAATCGAACTGATCTGTTTTACAGAACACAGAGAATTTTATTTCTAAAAATAAGTACATTGTCTGGTTGATCATTAAATTTCGAAGAATTGGGATGAAGTTTCATGAAAATATCTGGTGCCACAAATGTACAAAAGGCAATCGAAGTTTCAAATTTGGACTCGATTTTCTCGAAAACCATC